TATCTGTTTGTTCTTTTGGCAGTCCATGAGATCTTAAACACTATTCTCCTTATATAGCACCGTCACCTTAGAGACCTATCTACTATTGATCTGGAAGATGAATTATGGGAATGGTTTCAGTTTTAGGCTTGAGATATGACCAAGGGCCATAGTCTCAGGATTCTACCAGTCCCAGCCAGACCAACAAGCCTTATCATTTGCATTATTTTAAGTTTTATAATACATTTTTCTCTAACTTCCACTCCATGAATGAATCCTTCATTCTACAACTTTCTATTGCAATAATCCCTTTAAGAGTGGTCAGCAGTGGTAGACACCAGTTACTTTTTTCTCTCCTTGGGGTCTTTGTTAAAACTACTTTTTTTTTAATGGTAAATTTACTTATTTGTATACCTTTTACAATTTTTTTTTCCTTGTGAAATCTTGGTAGTTTTAAAATAAACCTTTAATACTCAAAATAAATTATCATACCATTTTAGAGCTTGAAGGGATCTAGAAAATCCTCCAATTCGACATGATATGTTGTTTATAGAGAAAACAACTTACAAGATGAGAGTTAAAGACATAGCTGGTTAGGTGGCAGGACTGGCCTACACGTTAGGAATCCTGACTGCATTTAGCATTTTTTGCCAGAGAGCTGAGGCTGTCTTCCTCACCACAATCCCCCATTAAAATGGACGCCCCATCAGGTAAGCTTCAGGAAGCCAAGCGAGGGGGATGAATACGCCCCCAACAGTAATATCATTTCTTCCACTCAGTTGATCCGAATTATTACAGGTTAGCTTTTCATGCAAAACTGAAGTAAATAATATTTTTTCCTGTATAAATATTAACACTGAATTCATTATGTTCTCTCAAGGGGAAAGTTGCATAATTGTGTGAGAGGCCCATCTTGCATTTGTAACATTAAAAAATCATCAACAGAGGAGGTAAAATATTTTACTCTAACTCCTGTAAAGAGGTTTTGTATTTGAGTTAGCTTAAGTGTTGTAGACTGTGTTAAAACCTCCTCTACTTGTTAGGGGCTATCAAGTTGGCTACTCCTCATAGTGACTCTATGAACAGTTCTGAACCCTGCTTTACCCGGAGAAAATGTCATCGTTTCTGACACACCTATCCCCATTACCCTGGTCACTGAGTTAATATATCTCATCCAGGGTCTACCTCTCTTGGACTGTCTGTCCCTCCACTCTTCCAAGCATGATGTCCCTCTCTAAGGACTAGTCCCTCTATGCAACATACCCAAAGTATGTCAGACGGAGCTTCAAAATCCTTCCTTCCAAGGAGTAGCCTGGTTTCACCATCTCCAAAATGGATTTGTTTGTTCTTTTGGCAATTTATGGTGTATCTAATACTCTTTTCTAGCACCACAACTCAAAGGCATCAATTCTTTTTTATCATCCTTAGTCATTGCCCAGCTCTCTGATGCATGACAGGTTACTTGTGAAGACCATGGCCTGGATAAGCTGAACCTTAGTCTCTAGACTGACATCATTGTTCTTCAGTACTCTGGAGAGGACTCTGACAGCAGATTTGCCCAATGCAATTAATCTTTTTATTTCCTGGCTGCTGGCACCATGAGAGTTGATTGTGGAGCCAAGCAAGCTGGAGTTGTTAACAATATCGATCTCTTTACCATCTATCATGATGCAGCCAATTGGCCCAGTGTGGTAAGAATCTTTGTTTTTTCAATGTTGAGCTTAAATCTATATTGAAGACTATTGTCCTTGACTTCCTGCAGCAAATGTCTAAGATCTTCCTCAGTTTCAGCAAGCAATATTGTGTTATCTGCACACCACGGAGAGTTGATGAGTCCTCCTCCAATCCTGATGCTACATTCCTCCTTATAGAGTCTGACCTCCCTGAAGAACTGTTCTGCATATAGATTGAAATGGTATGGACACAAGATACATCCTTGTTATATACCTTTACTGATTTTGAACCATCGTTGCTCGGTTCTGATGACTGCCTCCTGGTCCAAGTAAAGGTTTCACATAAGCCAAATCAAGTGTCCCGGGATTCCTATTCTTCTCAATTAGCCACAGTTTGTCAAGATCCACACAGTCAAATGTCTTCGCATAGTCATGAAACATAGACATTCTTCTGGTAATCTCTGCTTTCAGCTAAGATCCATCTAACTATAACATTCCTTCTGCCATGACCTCTTCTAAAACCAGCCCAAAACATCTGTCAATTCTCTGTTGATGTTCTCTTCCAGTTGTTTGTGGATAATTTTCAGCAGGATCTTGCTTGCATGTGATATTAATGATATCATTCAATAATTGCCACACGTCTCTGGGTCACTTGTTTTTGGAATGGAAATAAATATGGATCTCTTCCAGTCAGTTGTCCAGGTGGTGGTCCTCCAGATTTCTTGGCATAACCTGTTAAGTATGTCCAGGGAAACATCTGTTTGTTGAAATATGTCAGTTGGTATGCTGTCAATTCCTGGAGCCTTGCTTTCTGCCAATCCCTTCAGAGCAGCTTGTACTTCCTCATTCATCACCATAAGTTCATACCTTGTTTTATGAAATCCTTCTTTGACAGCCAATTTTTTCTGGTATAGAGACTCTATTTACTCCTTCAATCTTATTTTGATGCTTCCTGAGTTATTCAGCATTCTTCCCACAGCATGTTTAAGAATCACCTCAAGGCTTGACTTTGTTCTTCAGTTCCTTAAACTTAACAAATGCTGAGTGAGTTTATCCCTTTTTACTTTCCAACTCGAGCCTTTTGCACATTTAATTGATATTTTGCTTTGTCTTCCCATGCTGCTCTTTGAAATCTTCTGTTCATCTCTTTCACATCTTGATTTCTTCTCTTTGCTTTAGCTCCTGAGAACTCTAGTGCAATATTCAGAATCTCTTCTGACATCCGTTTTGGTCTTTTCTTCTTCCTCTTTGTGATGATGTTTTGTCTTCTTCCCGGATAGTATTCTTGATATCCTTCCACAACTCATCTGGTCTTTGCTCATTAGTATTCAAAGCCTCAAATCTGTTTCTGAGGTGGTCTTTAAATTCAGGAGGCAAAGACTCAAGGTCAAACTTTGGTTCTTATGGATTTGATTTTCTTTTCTTTAGCTTCAGTTTGAACTTGCATATGAGCACTTTATGATCTGATCCACAATTGGCACCAGGCCTCGTTTTCAGAGCTGATATTGAGCTTCTCCAGTGATTTTTCCTGCATATTTAATCAATCTGATTGCTGTGTAAGCCATTAGGTGAGGTCCATGTGTATAGTCACTGTTTGTGTCTTTTAGAAAAGGTATTTGCAATGAATAACTCATTGATTGTACAGAATTCCATCATTCTATCTCCAGACTCATTTCTGTCACCAAGTCTATGTTTCCCAACTACTGATCCTTCCTCCTTGTTTCCAGTGGTATCCGTATAGAAAGGGCTGGAGCTTGACAGTGCTGCTTAATAGAGCCCCTGCAGGCCAGCATGTCTCCACAGAAAGCACCCCAACCCTCAGTGTGCAGAACTGCATTGGAAAGCAGTATCCTCTGTCTTTCCCTATGTTTGGTGATGTTATCTCCACTTCTCTGAATTCCTTCTAGTTCTTTCATTTTTCGTACTTGTATTTTAAAAATATCCTACCTCAAATGACTCTGGGAAATGTAACCATACAATTACTTTTCAAGTTGAAGAAAGCAATCTTCAAATAGAATTCTTTTTCATGTTTCAACTCTCTCTCAACTCTTGCCATTGAGTGGAATCATCTCAGTCAACTCACCATTGGGTTTCTGAGGCTGTAAATCACACAGGAGGAGATTACCCATCTTTCTCCCACAGAGCCGCTGGTGCACTTGAACTGCCAGAGGGGTGTGTGTTTGCATTACTACTACAAGTCTGAATGACGTATACCACCAGAGCTCACTAACACCCCTTCAATTCTTAGCATAGATTTCAATAGCATACAAAGGACTTTCCAGAAATTAGTGCTTAAAAAACCAAACCAAGTCAAACAAACAAACAAAAAATGCAAATCCTTTGCTAACAAGTCAATTTCTATGCATGTTGAGTGTCCACCTTAACCTACCACCTCATGTGTATCAGAGTGGAACTGTGCTCTATAGGAATTTCAGAGGCTGTAATCTTTTAGACATAGGTTGCCAGGCCCCTCTTTCACAGCACTGTTAGGGGATTCCAAGTCCCAGACCTTTCAGCTACTTGTAGAATGCAAACTACTTGTGCCACCTAGGGATCTGATCTAAAAACAAACCTATAAATTAGAAACAGTTATTTAACTCTAGCTCCAGATAAGAAAAAGAGAGAGGTAAAGAAGCATAAAAAAATATAGGTGCACCAACATTCATGTTAAGTATTAAGATTCCAAATTGCAGTTTGAAAACTGTGAATTAATACCAGAGGTGATGATTCTTCCATATGCTATCAAAGTGCAGGCTGCATGTTCTGGTGGCCTAGTGGAAAAGGAGTTGGATTTCCAACCCAAAAGTAAGCAATTTTAGTCCACGAGTTTCTCCATGGGAGGGAAAGATAATTTCCTTCTGCACAGTTTACAGCCTCTGATAGCCAACTGGAGGGTCTGCTATGGGTCAGTTCCAACTAGGCAACAGCGAGTCAGTGAGTGCACACAATAGGAAAGCCACTGAGAGACTGAATTCAGCTTTACAGTTTACAGAGAGAGAGAATGACATAGAGAAGGGAAGTGATTTGCTGGTGGTTTTGTTCTCCTCCTGTCCAATCACACATCTTCAAGAAATGATGCCTCCATCCATTTACTTAGGTCCATGGTCAGCACATTATTCTCTCTGGAAGTGAAATATCATTAAACTACTGGACATATTTGCTACTACACGTAGAGGTTTATGTGGGAGTAGGCTTGAGGTGAGGAAGTAGAAACATGAAAAATGAAAGCTGAGCCATTTGTCCAAGGCTAGTCTGCCTGTGCCATTAGGCTTGGCACTTGCTATTTTGAGATCATGCTTTCTCATCCATGAGTTCTCTAACATTTAAACATTGACTTTACATTGGTAGCAATCAGTCAAGCTGCACAACCTTGTGGAGGATCACAACAAAGTCCAGGTTACAGTCAGCGTAAAAGACAGAGGTAAGTGACATACATCGTGCCATCTTTCACATCCTAACGTTTTAAGTGGAATGAATTTCACTTGCTCTTTATTATTAGTTAAGAAAAAGTCTTCTTTGATTGAACCAGGCCGAAGACTAAGGTGAGACAAGCTAAACAATGTAAAATATAGAGAGGCAAGACTGTGCAAATGTTGACCCTGCCCTTGCAGGGCCCCTGGAATGAGTCCCATGGTCAATATTTACTTTCAAGACCCCTCACTTGCTTTACCTTAGCCCCAATCCTGAATAGCCCTAAGAAGCTGTGCTGCAATCCCAAAGGTACATGATTTGAATCCACCAGCTGCTCTGCAGAAGGAGGCTGGACAATCTCCTTCCAAGAGATTAACTGCCTCTGAAAACCTGCTATCAGTTCAGGTTCCAATGCATAGCCTATAACAGCAACAATTAGATAGTGCAAGGTGGTTCTGAACTATTGTTCATAGGATTATAGTGAGTCATAGTTAACTTAATGGCACCTAACAACAACAAATCAAGGTTGCTTCAGATTTTCTCTGCTGCATATATTTAAATAAATGACTATTACTGGGTAAGCTTTGTTGTTGTTCTTGTTATGTACCGTTGAGTTGCTTTAGACTCATAGTGACCCTATGTTCAACAACCCTAAACCCTGCTCTATCCTGTGTCAATCGCACTGCCTCTGACACACCCATCCTGATTACCCCAGTCACTGAACCAATCCACCTCATAGAGGGCCTTCCCCTCCTGTGCCGTCCCTTCACTCTCCCAAGCATAATGTCCCTCTCCAAGTACCTGTCCCTCCTTACAACATGTCCAAAGTATGTCAGACGAAGCCCCAGAACCCTTGCCTCCAAGGAGCAGCCTGGTTTAACCCTCTCTTAGCAGTCCATGGTACATTCAATACTCTTCTCCAGCATCACAGTTCAAAAGCATCAATTCTCCTTCTATCCTCCCTAGTCATTGTCCAACTCTCTGATGCATAACAAGTGATTGCAAAAACCATGGCCTGTATCAGGCGCACCTTAGTCTCCAGAGTGACATCATTGCTCTTCAGTACCCTGGAGAGGTCCCTAACAGTAGACTTTCCCATCGCAATAACATTTTTTTTATTTCCTGGCTACTGGTGCCAAGAGTGTTGACCATGGAACCAAGCAGACTAAAGTTGTTAACAATCTCAGTCTCTTCAGCATCCATCCTGATGCTGTCAATTGGCCCAGTGGTGAGAATCTTTGTCTTCTTGACACTGAGAGCCTCAGTCCATACTGAAGGCTGCAGTCCTTGACCCTCTGCAGCAAGTGCATGAGGTCCTCCTCAGTTTCAGCAAGCAGGGTTGTGTCATCTGCATAACGCAGATTGTTGATAGATCGTCCACCAATCCTAACATCACACTTCTCCTCATACAGCCCAGCCTCTCGGATAATCTGTTCTGCATACAGGTTGAAAAGGTATGGAGATAGGACACATACCTGACATACACCTTTCCCAATTTTGAACCATGCAGTGTTTCCCTGCTCTGGTCTGATGACTTCCTTTGGTCCAAGTATAGGTTTATCATTAGCATGATCCAGTGTTCTGGGATTCCCATTCTTCTCAGATTCAGCCACAGTTTGTTATGATCCACACAGTCAAACGCCTTTGCATAATCAATGAAACACAGATAGACATTCTTCTAGTATGCCCTGCTTTCAGCTAAGATACATCTAACATCAGCTACAATATCCCTAGTACCACGACCCCTTCTAAACCCAGCCTGGACTTCTGGCAGCTCTCTGCTGATGTACTGTTCCAGTCGTTTTTGGATAATCTTCAGTAGAATCTTGCTTGCGTGTGAAATAAATGATATTGTTCTATATTTTCCACACTCTGTTGGGTCACCCTTCTTTAGAATGGGAACAAATAGAGCTCTCTTTTTTATTTCTCAACTAACTATCCCAAATAGTCTTCCAACTGCCATCTACAGCTCAAGCCTGGATGGTGCCTTTTAGGGGTCTGGCTGGACCCCATGCATTTACTCTGAGTTAGCCAGTGGTGGAGTGACCATTGCTGTCTGAAAAAAGGGAAGACCTGAGCCCTCAGACCATATAAATGATCTGCATGAGGTCTCAATCGAAGGAACAGTGTGCACTTTGGAGATCAGGAACCCAGTTAAAAGAGGAGACAGCAAAGGCACACTCACTTTTGATCAATGTCCTTGAGTAGCCACTGTGGGCAAAGCATGCAGTAGGTACTAAGATCAAGGCTAGGGCTTGTTACTGAGATAATTTGTTATTGGGGAAGAGTATTGAATATCCACAGACTGTCAGAAGAGCAAACAGATATGTCTTGGGAAAAGTGCAGCCAGAAAGCTCCTTGGAGGCAAGGATAGATAGCAAAGCTTCATTTTTTATACTTTTAACATGTTGCCACAGGAACTATTCCATGGAAAGGAATATCAAGCTTGGAAAGGTGGAAGGTCAGTGAAAGAGAAGATCCTCAATGAGATGGATTAACACAGTGACGGCAGCAATGGGGTTATATGTGCCAGGGGTGATGAGGTTAGCACAGAATAGGGCAGGGTTGAATGTGAGTCATATTCAACTTGATGGCACTTAACAACAACATATACAAGGAATCAGTTCCTTCATCATCCTAGTTTCTTCATAGAAATTTGCAATTGACTGAAGAAACATTTAAGCACCTGAGAGACAGGATAATGTTGGCCAATATGTTGATAAGGGTTTTCAGTTACTTTCATTTTAAGTAAACTCCAAAAGCTCAGCTAATCATGGATACATTGCTGATTTTTGTGTGTGTGTAGGTTTACAGGAGCTGGAATCTCGTCTCTTGGTTCCTGGAGACATTCTTATTCTCCCTGGGAAACTGTCATTGCCATGTGATGCTATTTTGATTGATGGGAATTGTGTGGTGAATGAAGGCATGCTCACAGGTAAGTGCTTGTGAAGAAATTACTTTGTGTCCAAAATCCAGAGCAAGTGTCAGCAAATCAGATCAATAAAAGTTACCTAAACAGATATGTGTTGGAGAAAGTGCAGCCAAAGTGCTCCCAGGAAACAAGGGTGGTAATACTTCATCTCACATACTTTGGGTATGTTGTTGTTATGTGCCATAGAGTTGACCATGACGCATAGTAACTCTATACACAACAGCTCTGAACCCTGCTCTCTCCTGAGCCAGTCTCACTGTCTCTGACATTCCTACTTTCATTACTCTAGTTATTGTGTCTGTCAGTCTCATCCATAGTCTTCCTCAACCCTTACAAGCACAATATCCTTCTCCATAGACTAATCTCCCCTACATGCCCAAAGTATGTGAGACAGAGTTTCAAAATCCTTGCCTCCAAAGAGCAGCTTGGTTTCACCCTCTCCAGGATAGACTTTTTTGTTCTCTTGGTAGTCCATGGTATATTACAAATTCTTCTTCAACACCGCAACACAAACACATCAATCCTTCTCCTGTAATCCTTCGTCATTGTTCAGCTCTCTAATGCATAGCAACTAATTGAAAAACCATAGCCTGGGTGAGGTAAGCCTTAGTCTCTAGACTGACATCCTTACTCTTCAGCACTCTGGAGAAGTCCCTGGCAGCAGATTTTCCCCAATGCAACTCATCTTTTGATCTCCTGACTGCTGGTGCCAAGAGTGTTGATTGTGGAGCTGAGCAAGCTGAAATTGTTGACAATCTCAATCTCTTCTCCATCTATCATGATGCTGCCAATCAGCCTAGTGGTGAGAATCTACATTTTCTTGATGTTGGGCTTCACTCTATTTTGCAAACTACAGTTCTTGACCCTCTGCAGCAAATGCTTTAGGTTCTCTTCAGTTTCAGCAAGTAAAGTTGTATCATCTGCATAACCCAAGGTATGTTGTTTGGAGGAGCTCTTCCTCTGGTGTCCTAGTGGTAAGGAGCGACACTTGATACCAAAGGCAAGTGGTTCAAATTCACCAGCTGCTCTGCAGGAGAAAGATGGGCAATTTCCTCCCATGTGATTTACTGCCTCTGAAAAACCACTGGTGGGTCAGCTATGGGTTGATTCTGTTTCAAAAGCACATCACAACAACATGTTTGTTGGAAAGAACAACATGCTTGGCAAGGTAAAGGTCAGTGAAAGAGAAGACAACCTTCAGCCGGGTGGATTGACAGCAGTAATGAGCTCAAGTGTGTCAGAGATGATGAGGGTGGCACAGGATAGGACAGGGTTCAGATCTGTTGTTCATAATGTTGCTATGAGTCGTACTCACAGCCCTTAACAACAAAATTTATGCTAGACCACAGGCTGAGCACAATGAGAATAGCCTTTTCCAATCAAATGAATACAAAATATAGGGAAACAGGGAGAGCTTAATACCAAGTAGCATAACAATTAAGCCAAAATAAATACTAAACTAGTAGAAACGCCTAATACAACATGTGATTAGTTGCCAATAGAATAATAGAGTACTTTAGGTTCAGAAAAAGGTGAGTGCACTATGCTGTTTGAGATCTAAATCTCTTAAAAAAAAATTACAAGAATGGTTTATGCACACATCCAAACAGAATACAACCAGGTGGATCTCCAACTGCCTCAGTCAAAAGCGCTAGAGATTTTATTTAGCCCTGTACCCTGGATACCTGAAGTTCCCTGGGAGGGAATCAGACCCCCAAGGTGAATCTTGAGGAAAGACATAATAAGGATACTTTCCGTTCTCCATAGAGTTCACCATCTTTCTATTTGATCTCATTGATCAGAAACCTGTTCTTCCAGATAGAATTGGAGCTGTTCTTGTTCTCATATGTACTCTGTAATGTCTACTTGAATATGTATAATCTGTAAAGCACTATTTATAAAATATCCTTTAGGAAAACATACACACACAGAGTACATGGTAATGGAAAGTAGTTTGTCTTTTTCTGTGCTTAAAAATTGCTCTATTTTTGTCTTAGTGAATGGAGTAAAGGGAAGGGGGAAACTCCACAAAACTTTTAACATCACCTCTGTGAAAAGGGAGCGTACTGTATATTTCTGAATTGCTCGAGACAAACAGATTTCACATTGAAAATGGGTCTTCTTAATTTAAAATTGCGACAAGAAAATGTAGTAAACATCAATATCCTTGGTATAATTACAAAATATACCCCTTTAATGTGCTGAAATCTAACTGCCTTATAATGAGAGCGATGAGGATTTGCATACTGATATCTTTCATGCAGAATGTTGCCATAGCACCCAGCCTGCATACTCTATCCCCAAGGAAAGCTGTCCTTCCTCTACTCAGAAGCTGTTTCCCACCTCCCACCGGTTCACAATGGAGAATGGCTTCTCCCACAGATGAGGAGTATGGCTGTGAGGAGACTAGAGCGGGAAACACCACAGTTTATTTCCTGGTTTGTTCCTGCTCCCTAACTGAAAAGGGTGTGCACTACTTGCCTCAATTCTCAAGAATTCTCTGGGCTTCAGACCTGTAGTGCAGTTAACACTTCATTCCAACAAGTGTGTAACAATTGACCTAACATTGCCTTAGATAAGTAGCTTCTTCTAGGGTCTGTTTCTGGAATATGATGCATCTGGTATTAATATGTGGGCAGTATTAAGTATTGATAAAGGCCAATTTTAGAGAAAGATATGAAACAGAAATGTCTTCTTTCTCATTAATTCCTTCAGAAAGATTTTGGGATAACCATGCTCTAAATATATTATTACTCAACCCACATGGATACTCCCACTCATGTACAATTTGTGGTGTGTTTTCTGATTGAATATTCAAAAGATTAAGGGTATATTCTTGAAACTTCAAATGTCTCGACCATATTTGTCCACAAATATGGTTCAGGTTATTTTTTTTCTTTGACTGAAAAATAGTCTGTGTTTATATTGTTGTTGTCGATTGTCTTCGAGTCGAACATAACTCAAATTGACCCTATGAATAAAAGGCCTTAAGCCCCTCTACAGCTATCAACATTTATCAAAAGTTCGTAGAGTTTCCAGAGGCATGTTGCTTAGGAATTGGATGTCACTCCTGATTCCAAACCTGTCATGGTATGTTATTGCTGTTATGTGCCATTGAGTCACCTGCGATGGATAGTAACCCTATGTATAGCAGCTCTGAACCCTTCCCTGCCCTGAGCCAGTCTCACTAATTCTGACACACTAACCCCCATTGCCCCAGTTACTGTATCAGTCCATCTCATCCGGGGTCTTCATCTCCTGCACTGTCCATTCACCCTTCTGAGCCTGATGTCCTTCTCCAAGGACCAATCTCTCCTTGCCCAATGTGAGGTGGAACTTCAAAATACTAGCCTTCAAGGAAAACGTTGGTTTCACCCTCTCCAAGAAAGACCTATTTGTTTTCCTGGCAAACCATGGTATGTTCAAGACTCTTCGCCAGCACCACAACTCAAAGGCATCTATTATTCTTCTGTCATCCTTAATCATTATCCAGATCTCTGAAGCATAACAAGTAATTAAGAAGACCATGGCCTGGATTAGGTGCACCTTTGTTTCTAGACTGACATTGTTGCTCTTCAGTACCCTGGAGAGGTCCATGATAGATTTTCCCAAAGCAATTTGTCTTTTGATTTCCTGTCTGCTGGAGTATAGAAGTCTTTTTTTTTGCTTCGCTTTTTATACAATAGTAAAAATGGCATATGCTGCCAGTATCTCTATAGGAGTTCATATGCTATAAATGACTTCTGCATGCACTTTCTTCATAGCAAAAACCAAATAGGACTAAAAGCTTAGAAACGAGGAAATTGAGGTGAACAGAGGGCAGGGCTGTTCACGAAGTGAGTGAGGGAACCAAGATTGGCGTTTGCTTCTAAATAGAAACATAAGAATGAGGAAGGTGATTCTAAAGTAGGTGACCCTCCATACCTATATCTTGTTACCCTTTCTCTCTTAATGTTCCCGTTCATATTACAGTCCCATTAATAAGGACCCACCCACATCTTGATCTCCTCAGCCTCATCTCACAGCCACAAACTCAGGTATCTAAGAAATTTATCTCTCCCCCACCCCCCATAATGTGTTTAATATACACATAACAAACACATCTTGTACAATTCCGTGATATTGTGTTCATCATGTTGTACAACTATCACCATGGTTTCCAGATTTTTTTCCCATCACCCTTTGTTTGTTGTTGTTGTTATGTGCCATCGAGTCACTTGCGACTCATAGCAACCCTATGTACAACAGCCCTAAACTCCGCTCTGTCCTGTGCCAGTCGCACCGTCTCTGACACTCCCATCCCAATTATCCCAGTCACTGAATCAATCCACCTCATAGAGGGCCTTCCTCTCCTGCACTGTCCCTCCACCCTCCCAAGCATGATGTCCCTCTCCAAGGACCGGTCTCTCCTCACAACATGTGCAAAGTTTGTTAGACAGAGCCTCAGAATCCTTGCCTCCAAGGAGCCATCCGGTTTAACCCTTTCCAGGACAAATCTGTTTGTTTTCCTAGCAGTCCATGGTATTCTCAATACTCTTCTCCAGCACCACAGCTCAAAGGCGTCAATTCTCCTTCTATCCTCCTTGGTCATTGTCCAACTCTCTGATGCATAACAAGTGATTGCAAAGACCATGGCCTGTATCAGATGCACGTTAGTTAGTCTCCAGAGAGACACCATTGCTCTTCAGTACTTTGGAGAGGTCCCTAACAGCAGACTTTCCTATGGCAATGCACCTTTTAATGCATCACCCTTTACAGAGCTCAATATTCCCTAAGCAATTCATTCACCTTTCCCCTTCTAATCTATCCATCTCTGGTAACCACTATTTTCCTTAGGTCTGTAATCATTGACCTGTCCAATTTGATACAAGTATTCACAAGCAGTCATTAGAACAGAGAAAGGAAACCCTGCATGGTCCAAAATCAGGAAAGGACATCAGTCCTAGCTCCATAACTTTTCAGTCTATATGTGGAACAGATCATTTAGGAGGCTGGACTTCATG